ACAATAATACAATAGAAACACACTTAACAATCACAAGTGGAAAGACATAAAGTGAGGAGGTAAAAAACAAACAAGTGGATACTTTACCTATACAAATTTATACCTCACTCTGTAGAATCTGACAAAAAGGACTCCTTCCAGTCCTCGCAAAACATGCATAAAATATATGATCTACAGTAGGAAGAATAAAACATCATAGTGTACTATCTTAAGTGAATACTAATAGTGATGTTCAAAGTTACACTCACAACAAAAAAAGTTGATTGAAGGCACATCAATAATAAGGTTGACTAGTGATCTTCCCCACGTATAAAGGCATATAGGAGAGAAAAAAGTAAAATGATAAGTGCAGACTGTTTATTAACCTAGTGAAGCGCTAGACGATAAAACACTTACAAGATTGCAGAGGTATACAGGCATGTCATATCACAGGTTACCAAGGTGTTCAGTCCGCCAGAAAATTCAAATGCAAATAAGCAAGGAATCCTTGTTACTTAAAATATATTAAATACCACAAATAAAACAGAAAATAAAATAAAAACTAAATACTCTCCTACATAAAATCCTCTTTACAATAAAGCAGGGAATGATAGAGTAGCTCAAAACAATAAAAGGAGTGGCATGTGAACGAAATGTCCAGTACAGAGGACACAAGTTAATGGGCTGGGTCTCAGGAGGATATAGGGAAACATATAGGGGCTCGTGATAACACAATAACAAATATATAATATGCAAATCTACCTGAATATGCAAATTACCAAGTCTTGTTGTTCAGGTAGTGCACATAACATTTACAACAGGTGGCGCTGTACAGGCTCCACAACCAGATCCACCTAGTTGGTAGCAAGCTTCAGCAGGATAGTAGAGCATACAAAATATTTAACATTAATATTCATACACACAGACGCATACGCAAACACACACATTCATTGAAATTCTTTAAAAATCAGCACTCTAGCAAAGCGGTGGAGGCTCGTCCTAGGGGTACTTGAGTCGGCGCCCCACCAGTTTTTATGTGGCGTTAAATTGTATTTGCCACAGGTAAGAAATGCTAGGTTTCTTTTTCTGGCAGGGAGGTTGGTAAGCCAAAGAAATATGGGAACAAATTTGTGTCACTTTAATACTGTAAGCTGTATGAGCACAAAGATAGGATTTGACCAATTGTGCGTGGGACAAACATGTTACTGGGACAAAGATGGTGCTTACAAAATTTTGGGGTAAAAAGTTGGCACTATAGGATTTAGGTGACATATTACCTGGTGAAGGTGACTAATAGCTTCAGGAGATGGTGAGTGTGTGTAAAAGTTGTCTTTGAGGTTATATAAGCCTCAATAGTAATGTGCAAATTCCTCTACTATCTGGAGCAGGGAAAGGCCACCTTTGGCACTCCAGATGTTATGGACTACACCCATAATGCTGGCAAAGCATCATGGAAGGTGTAGTCCAAAACATCTGTTGTGCCAAAGGTTGCCTATGCCTGGTCTAGAACCTTGTGTCCTTGCCTTTTCAGAATATATGCAACTTTGAATGCCATCTGTTTACATTTCAGTTGAGATACTAGGACTGCTCCTGCTGTATTGCCTTGCTCAAAGAATTATTGTTTTAAGTTTCTGAACATAAATGCCGTTTTGGCTATTTCTAGCTCTTTGCACTTTGTTTCTCACTTCTTTTAGCTCCAATAAAGTGACTTGATGTAATTTCTTTTTTGTTATACTTAGCTCAGTAAGACGCTGTGTGGGGTAGTATATTTCTTCAGTATGCTATCTTTGGTGTAGCTTGCATGTTCAATAAAGACTCTTCTAACATATGTCTTGTGAGCCAACCATAAGGAGGAGATGGGGATGTCAGCGTTATTGTTAGTTGTGAAATTATTTTGCAATTCTGATTTGATATCTGATTTGCCTGGGTATCAGTTAACACATTCGTTTAGGCACCATACTCCTTTTCCTTGACAGGGTATTCCTCGAATAAGGATAGAATCACCGGTGTGTGGTCAGAGTAGGACATAAGACCAATGTGCATAGCTGTCATACAGTGTAGGGATGTCCTCTGTAGGAGGAAAGTATCTGAGAGTACAAATTGTGAACCATAGTTAAAGGTAAAATCTATACCCAATGGATATAGGACTCTTCATTGGTCAATGTAGTTATGAGTCAGTAATAGTTGGGTTATTGAATTGGCTAAGATAGTTATTTTTTTTTTTTTAGACCAGTGTCACTCAAATCAATGAGGATGTATTAATGCCCTTGGCTAATATGAAGTTGGAGTCTCCCCCTATCACCACCTCGTCAAAGACAAGTGATTGAGTACGCCAAAGTAGGTAACCCAAGAACTGGGCTTCACCATCGTGGGGCCCAAAGAAATTGATAAGGGTATATGGCAGGTTATTAATATAGCAATGTAGCAGGATTGTCCCTTAATGATTAATGAGAAAGATCTGTTGATCAGTATGGAGATGCCTAATTTTTTCCGATTTGTAGCATGAATGAAAAAGTCTACTGGGTTGTGAAATTTACTTCTGTCCCCCCATTTAAAATTAGTTTTTCGGAAGAAAGCCACTTGAGCTTTCACCCTCATAGCTTCCAAGATAGTCATTCTACATTTATGCGGGGAGTTTAATTCTTCACAGTTTAGTGAAAAAAATGAAAGCCATTTGAGAGACATGGAGCTCGCCTATTCTTCAACAGACTTCTCATCCATAGGCACCAGAATTTTCAACAATTGTAGGAGCGTGTAGCTTTCCTCATGTGTGGGTATCCTCTTCTCCACTCGAGGCTGAGCCACATTGTGTAGCCCCATTTATATTGTATCTGGGCATCCCGGAGAACCCTTGTGAACGCTCCAAATATGCGTCTTCTGGCCAGTGTAGATGGCAACAAATCTGTGAATAACCGTACACCTGCAGAGCGCATCTCGACAGGCACTCAGGTGCTTGAGTGGCTTGCATCACTTGCACTTTAGTAGTGAACCCAGGTAATCACGTCTCAGGGGATTGTGAAGGCCAAGTGGCGAGGTTTTGCCAGCCTGTGTTTGATCTATCCACAAATCTTGATCCAATAACTCGGATCGTGACCGGAAGAGCTTCTGCACGTATTCCACAAATTTTTCCTCAAGGTGTGTAATTTGGCATCGATTGTTGTGGGTCTGGATTATCTGCTGTTTTTTTTTCCTTGAGGTGTGCAGTACGTTCCCATATAGTTTGAACGTCTGCTCTAATTTCTCCGGCTATTTTCCCGATGTCAGTTCACAGAGCGGTAAGCAAAAATGTCCAGCATCCTTTGACTGGACCCTTCAGATATTGGTGCTATTGTGCATATGGAGTTGGAGGTAATCTCACCATTACTCCGCTATCTTGTGGGTCTTCGCATGGTGATAACAGCATGGATATTTGCATAAATGTTGGTTTTTGTATTGCCTTCATCGCTGATTTGGAGGTCATAGTCTTCATGAGGTGGATAAGTTGCCTTTTAGCAGATGAAGTCATAATAGTCTTCAGTTATGTCGCTGCAGAATGCTTGCTACTGCCGAAGCTCTCAGGTAATGTGACTGGTGACATCTACTTCCAAGCCACGTCCCCCAGTTTCTTTTTAACGTTAGAGTGTTCTATTTAACCCATGAATGTTGCTTCTCATGGCAAATCAGGATTGGCTGCTTTTGACATCTTAAAACACGTGGAAATGGCCATTCATGGCCAATTCAATGTTTTCAACAAGAACACGGTTTATATACCACATAATCCCTGCCATTAATTTACAAAACTGCCATCAGCAGGACAAGGCGGTGATCTCTCTCTCTGTAGGTGTGGGTCCCACAGGGGGTTGGTAGAATGAGTATATACTACAGAGTTTAATTTGTGTAAATTTAAATAGTTGGTCCAATAGAGGTTTATCGAGGTAAAAAAACATGGAATAATTTCTTACTTTTTTGCAAGAGCCTTTTGCATTTAACAAATGCCCAAATTGTAAAGATGTACTTCCTCACATTACTCTGAAGCGTTCACTGTATGACCTCTCGTTCTAGTATTACGATTTGGCGTTTAGCACAGTGTCCTAAAATGTGCCCAATATGTAGAATGCAGATCTGTGGCCAGCCCTTGGGCACAGCTGCAATATCTATAGTTACAATATCCAAAAGACAAACAAACATTTTGATTTCAACCTTATCGCAACGAAGCAGTGTTTCCACTGACCAACAATAACCAAAGCTCACTTAACATTCCTGGAAATATTAACTGTGTGATCACGAGAGAAGAGTAGAAAGGCTTCTCCTTTTACCTTGTAAAGAAATTCATGATAGATAGGTGAAGCAATCCAAAACTGTTTGCACAAGAGTTTATTCACAAAACAGTGTATTGGTGAGAGTTGAAGACCCAATTGCAAAGTTCGGGAGTCAAGCTGGGACTACACGGTTGGGGTATTTTTATAATTCCACTGTTTAGGCCTGGATCTTTGCAATTCATTGTTTAGTGAATAATCCTCACAATGTAATGGCTACATTTACCAGCATTTGTAAGGTTACATATAGGAATTACGACCCACTCCCATCTAACCTGAACAGAGTGGCAAAGTATTCTCTGCCTTAGAAATTAACAGCCTGGCAGGCTTAAATTGACAGATACCTAGGCTTTTGGAGGTTTTCAGATGGTGGGGCACCAGACTCCTCCCCCATAATTTTTATCCTCCCTATACAGTAGTACAGTATATTCAGAGCTGAATATAATACAGAGATAACCATACCACAAACAGAGCTGAGAATTGTTTTGTTTTTTTAGATATAACACACAGCTATGCACAATACAAAGATAACTATACAATACAGAGAGCCCAATAGAAAAAGGCAGAGCTGAGTAAAATACTGAGAAATAACACACTAGGCTGGACACAATAAGGAAATACCATAACTATCTCACACAGCAAGGATCACTGTGATGGATTACACAGAGTTGCAATACAGAGGTCCCCACGTAGCTCTGTAGAATACTCCAGTGCTCTCTTAGCTCTCCATAACATGATCTCACCTTCATTATTGCTCCAGCTATGTTAACTTTGGCTTTTATTAAATATTGCTGCTGCTATGAAACATGTCAGCTACTCCATTGGCTCTCAGCACACAGTGTGCACATTGTTAAAACAGCATGATACTGATCGACTCCAACCATGTCAGCTACTCCTGACTATTAGTGCTCAGCACACAGTGTACACAGGATTAAAGTAGCAGGATCTGGATTATTACCTTTGTAGCTGGCAATATGATTAATCTGCAGTGGTAATATGGAGCCAAGAAGTAGCTGGCATGGGTAACAGAAACAACAATCATTACAGATGAAAACAGGTTGAAATCAGAATCATATCAGTCTTTGGAGTCACAGCCCCAGTCCTGCAGTTTGAAGCTTCACAACTTTTCAACTAGCCACAGCAAGCATGTCTCAGGTCTGAGCTGTAGCCTGACTGAGCAATTTAAAGCACATGGTGGGTATGTGCAATAGAAGTTATTAAAATGATTAGTGATTGGCAGCACAGTGTTCTGTGTCAGAAATGTTCCCTTACCCTGGCTTTAGATATATTAAATATATATTTGAGTAAATGTCCTTGCCTAATCAGCCCTCAGACAGAAACTGGGGATATTGGGGGGGGGGAAGAGAAAGATTTTTTTTTTTTTTATACACTTACACGTGGTAGGATCTGCTGCTGCGTCTTACTGTGTGGCTTCCAAGATGGCTTCTTGCTTCTCTCTGCTGTGGGTAATGTAACCCCCACCCTCTAATGCTATCAGGAGTCGAGAGGCCAATAACATGCTTACTCCCACGGGCAGCTGATTCTGATGCCCTAATCATTACAAGCAGATGTTGAATCTATATTCCTGGCACATTAGTGCATTAATAATATGTAATTTATATATTAAATAAATTGCAGGGGCACTTGGCAGCAAAACCACTGTAGTGGTTATGGTGCCAGGAGTCCCTTGGCACAGTCCCACAGTTAAGAGTCAGTTTTAACACAATTGACACTTACCCGGTTTACCCCAAGTGTCCATGGGAAGGCACCAGAGGTCTCTTGGCACCATAACCACTACACTGCAGTGAAGCTGTTAAGGTTCTTAAAGTGAACCTTTAAGTCCACTATATTCAAGTTGGAAAAATGCTTGAATTCAGCTTTTTTCCCCCAAATATGAACAGGGGTGAACTGATTAATTCTATATCAAAATATCACAGTTAAGTAAGTAAACCATTCAGTCTATTACTATTAATATAATTCGTTGACATAAATAAAATTATATAATTTCAGATGCAACTTTGAAGTCATCACACTGGTAAAATTTTTGGAATGCAAGAACAACACAATGTCCATTAAGAATGAGTTAATAATATTTATCACAAGGCTTACTTTAAGCCCAAAAACGTTCTGCAGGCTATGCAGAACACATAATTTAGTTAACATTTTTGGAAATGACATTATTGCTGATGGAAAGTCATGTTAACAGTTATAAAAGGGTTAATTAGACGATCACATCTACTGATAGGGCAGAACTGTGCCTTTGTAACGTTTCCAGCTGTAAATGCCAATTTATAGATCATTTTGGATTCAAATTGCAACCACATCCATAATTTTATTTTACTGTATAAAAGATATTTTTTCCAGGTCCGTGAATATAAAACCGAAAATATACACGTATTATCCTTTAGTACATTTATCAATAACCAATAAAAAAAGAAAATTACATATAGAAAAGTAAAAAAATTTTTTAAAAATCAAGATATTTTTTTCTTCTTTCTTTCATCGAGACTGTTCCAAATATGAACCACATTAAAATAAAACAAAAATATCAAGAAATGAGCGCAGGAGACTCCAGAGATCAGCACGGGAAAGAGGTCGGGAAGGCTGGGAGGCGGGGCCAAGACAGCACTTGCAAAAGTCAGAGCTGCCATCACCAATAATGACCCAAGGAACTGCGAGAAGAAAGAAAGAATAGTGCAATCAGATAATGTACGTGCTTTTAAAGCTTCGTAGTGAAAGGAAGAAGAAACACTTTGTGTAGAACTCCAGCATTCTTATTTATCAAACAAACACAAAATGACTGCCTGGCTAATCTCAACAGGTTAACCCCAAGTATTTATACACTGGATATACTTTGATTTAAATATATATCACTCATGAAGCAGATTTAGCCGGCTCATGTGTGCTCTCCAGTGACTGCTGAGCATTTCACACATCATCCAAGAAGCACTTGAGGTCCAAGATGATTTAGTAAAGGCAGCTTCTCTTGCAAGATCACTGGATCTGAAAGACCGCAAGGAGGTGTCAATGCCAGGCCAAAAGTAACTGGCATTTCACGTTCTACAGTACAGTTATTTGTGCAGTTTACATACATCTATAAAGACCCATAATAAATATACTTACAGAACTAGTTACTCAACTGACACAATCAGCAGCCCACTTACAATGTAGGTTTTATTCAAGGCTCTGTCTATACCTTCACTCGCCTACCCTGTGTCTCCACTGCTTGCAAGGAGAGTTCTCTCTATGGAGTGTTTCACTGTATTCCTAAAATATTTTGTCATGAAGCCCTCTCTATAGTCATATCCATATTCATGGTTCTCTGTATAGGAGGATTTCATTTCTCCGTTGGTGCTCTTTTTATCTTGTGTTCGGGCATCCTATGCCCCCTAGATTATTTGATTTTTTTAGTCCTCTTCTACCGCTCCAGGCCCTTACATTATAAGCTTGCAAATAGGATTCTCTATACCAATGGTGCCCAAAAGGTAGATCCCCAGATGTGTTAAAACTATAACTTCCAAGATTCTTTGTCATTCTGAAGCATGCTAAAGACATGCAAAGCATCATGGTAGTTGTAGTTCTACAACATCTGGAGACCTACTTTTTAGGCACCCCTGCTCTGTACCTTATGTATCAGATTGACTGACAGTAACAAAAATATGTCTTGCCCATCCAAGACTGTATAAAAAAAACGAAAAAATATTTCTACATTTGAGATTCTTGCCTTTGTAGATTTGACTTGTACTTTGGACTTACCGAGTCCATTTGAGTTTGGCAGCCATAGATCATATCAATCTTTAATAATTTTTTTGATATGGGCTGCAGCATTGGACTATGGAATATGTTTTGCATTTTATAAATAAAGTACCAATAGCTACCAGTCTTTTACTGGGTTTGGTAAGAATTCATGTGAGGTCACAAATCCTGGTAAACCGAATATTCTGTAAGTCGTTAATGGTAAATCCTGGTAAACCGAATATTCTGTAAGTCGTTAATGGTACTTTTTGATAATCTGACTGTACAAAGCTCAGACGGCCAAACTCTGTAGAGGTAGTTTAATTGTCTTCATGTAGCTCCTGAAGCTATATAATTTATGAGCAGCAACAATGCTCTGCAGTCTAATCCATGCTTTTGGTATCAAACTAGAAAAGCGCAGAGGAGTTTGGTTTAGATGTGTGACATACTTACTAGCAGCCTGATCAGGGACCCCGGGATTTTAAACCAAGGCAAATATCTCCTAATAGAGATACAAAATGGCTTCAGTTTTAGAGAGTCCTCGGAAATCTTCCCATGTATCGACAGCAAAGCACTGCTGGACAGAATGAACGAAAGGGTGGTAATGATGTAAGATATGAATAATCCATCCTTGATCAGAAGGGGCAGCATGCTGTTGAGAAATATGAAATGAAGCCGATATCATATCAGAAGAAAAACAGGTTTGATTACATGATGGAAGAAATGTATGAGAACAAACTGAGCGAAAGACACACATATAGTCTTATTTCTGGCTCTGTGCAATTCATTAGATTGGAGAGGCCAAAAGGCATCCAGCTATTGTAGAAATACAACTATTCCACTTTATGTGAATTTTCACATCAAATTTGGCACTAAAAAAAATAAAAAAAGGTTTGAATAATAATATTCTAGCTCCATAAAATGATTAAAATCCATCTTTTGAGATAGAGAGAAATCTTATGTTTCAGACACTTTTGTTTATAATATTAGTGCAGATTCTAACGCAGGAGCAATTTATTAAATCTTCGCCAAAAACTGTGCTTTTAATTAAACTTACCTAAATGTTGATACAAGTAGAAACCATGTGGAAATCAGTGGGACCTCATTCATAATTAAACATACCGGCCTAGAAATAGAAATATGTTAAAAACCAGCAGCGTGTAATGTAACAAGGTGTGGATGGGAAATGCAAGCAGAAAGCTAAATTCACAGTGGTATTTATTTCACCTGCCAGGAGGGGAGCAAAGAGTACTCCTTCAGCCAAACATATGATGTGTCAGGACAACCATGATATAATGGAGTTTACCTAACCCAGTGACGGTGACCTTATTGCACGAGTCACACAACCAGCAAGTAAAGGACTCCTAGGTGACACTCATTTTCTGCCTTCAAGTAAGTAATCAATCCTAAAAATGTGGAGCCTGATGCACAATAACATGATTGGCCATTATGTTTAGTTAGAGATGATACCAGCACACATCAAGCCAGTTTTAGGAGGGGGAAGTGGAGGGGAGGTTGTGTGCAAACAATTAAGAGTTCATCTTGTGATGGGTCATTTATGTGGGAGATGGTAGATAGCGCAAATTGGCACTTTTTAAATTGTTTTAACAATTTCTGCACTCAAAACCATTTTTTTCACTAGATGAGCTGGATCTGTATCCCCCATCTAAAATGTCATATCGAAGTGTTAAACCTAAATAATTACAGTGCTAATTTGCACAAACTGGTAAAATAGAGCATCTAAAACTAAATGTCCTTTTATTTTGTTAAATCATTCTCCACTTTTACTATTTTATCTTATTTTATATAGAAAGAAGATGTCATGAACAATATGTCACTGATAAGCCTTAATTTTATCGCTTTTTTTAAATTGCAGAATATGAATACCTCCATGCTCCATGACAACAAAATATATGTTAAACATAGGGAAAACCCACAGTAGCCAAATTTAAAAGAAATATATATCTATAAAAAGTGTAAAATGATACAATATTAATGTCAATTCTCCAACAGGGATAAAACCCATAAGGGGTGAGTGCTAAATTATATTATTTCCTGGAGGAAGGAATACGTGTGTGCAGCACACTTTTGTCAAAAATATTCTTTAAGTGATAAAGTAACTAATAATTTTAAAGAAAGTATCCATGTTTAAAGACTCCATCAAGGGTTAATAAAATAGGCATTCATACAACCAAAGCTTTTAAAGTTTTAAAGAACTACTTACAAGGAAACCAAAAGAATGGATTTTTCATGGACTTGAAAGGAATACAAGAAGAAGGATAATGAACAGTTTACCTTGGAGGAAAAACAAAAACAAAAAACAAGTTAATACATAACGTCAAAACATGACACAGTAAGCATATGTACCTATAACTGTATAACTGTACCTAACTGCCTAAGAGAGGTGTAATGTTATGCCATCAATGAAGGCAACATTTTGACATAGTGTGTCTTTTCAAACCATAGTCAAGCGCTTTATACAAAAACTATTTAGAAGGGAACAATTAATAAGCAGACCAATCACCCAATAGTGCAATTAACAACTGTAGTGGAAAAAATATGTTATGATTGAAAGCCAACTATCTCATTACTTCTTCTAAAGGAGTGTCTAAAAAACACACACACACAAAAAAAAGAGAAACTCTTGCTTCTTAAAGGAAAATCACCCTAATATATATGTTATACACACACACACACACACACACACACACACACACACAATACAGTGAATAGGATATAAGTCCCAAGTCAAAAAAGGAAGGCTGTAGTGCTATGGTACTTGGAATGTTGTCATAAAGGACCACCCAGGCACCAGAACTTCATCCCAGTTACTCCTCCTCCAGTGGCTGTCAACAGACAGCCACTAGAAGCGCTTCCTTAAATTTCACATTTTTTCTCGGTGAAGTGGTGGTGGACATTCTCAAACTTTGCATGAGGATGTTCAGTGTCCTGTAAAACCCCATCGGAAAGCCTAATGCATGCGTGGCACTCGCTGCGCACACACACTAGGTTTCTGAATCGCTGTGAGATCAGTGTAGGAAGTGACCGATTCAGCGCATGCAAAACTGTATTCCTTTCATTTATATAGCAATCCAAAGTATTCACCCACAAAGCGCAGCTTAGTTAAAGGGGCCCACTAGTGCAGCCCAAGTTTATTCAAAGAGCATTCAAAGTACAGACGTTTTGGGACCCTGTCCCTTTATCAGTGCTAAATGCCTTCTGCTAAGCTGCGCTTTGTGGATGAATACTTTGGATTGCTAAATTTTGCTTGCTGTTGGGGCTACAGCGGCTTATACACAACAGTTGCACTAGTTTAAACTAATTTGCCTTTTGGTATTGTGCTATACCACAATCCTAGATCATATTTTTGCTTGTTCCTTTAACTTAGAAGGAAATTTGTTATTAACATTCCAGGTTTGACCTATTAAATATCAAAACACCCGAGAAGCCAAAGCACTACTAAACCTAGGGGAACGGGTACCAAAAGGTGACTCATGGCTGTCCCAGCTTGAATGATCAACTTGTTAGTTAAAGGGACAGACTGACCCCATTTTCTGCTCCTATGTCAGCCCCATCCCCATTATTACAAAAATACTTCATAGTTTGGACCCACGTATGTAAAACCTACACTACAGATTGTGTTGTTTACTTACCACTGTTAAGCATTAACCTTCTCTTCCTCTCTGTAAACCACTTAGGTTTCATTCAAAAATTGTAAATAAAGAATTAAAAAAAAAAAAAAAAACAACCTTCTAGGTTTGGAAAATACCAACCATCCTTTAATCAAAGTTTAAACTCACCAAAGCAAATTTAAATCCTCCAAAAGACGGCCTTGCTGTTAGTTTTATACATGTTGGGATTACACTTAGCAACGTGCAGGCAAAGCTAAAGGGGACAAAAATTTACACAAAGTGATTAGATCAGTCAATAACATGCAAGCCTTCCAACATTATTACACAGATATCTTCACCCACCGTACGTGGGGTGCTGGAATAGGAGGAAGTAGGTTGGTAGGCATCCTGGGGACCACATGGCCCATGTCACCTTTTATAGAGTGTGGGAACATGTAGCTCCATTCTGCCAGGTTCCCTGGGTTTATAAAGTACTAGGGGACCTCTCAAAAACACATGTTCCTGCCATCTGCCAGTTTGTTTGGCTTATGTTGGCAGCAGAAACCAGGCAAAATTCCCCACTCGGAATCGAGAAATACAGGTCAAACAAGGTAAGATAAGTATTTGATAGAGATGTAAAATATCTATACTTTGCCTGGATGAGGAGATTTTAAGGCTTAATTTAAAACTAGTAATAACCAGTATTGTGTGCGAGGCACTTAAACAGCGATATTCAATAACAAACCAATTTTGGTCGCGCTAGAAACTCTATATAAGTGAATCAACCCTAAAGTGCTAAATACCAACCATTTAAAATGCCACTTGTGCATAAGAAATATTTTATATGAAAAAAAAAATTAAAATAATAATTATATGTACTTATACTTGAAGGGACACTATAGGCACCAAAACTACTTTAGCTTAATAAAGCAGTTTTGGTGTATAGATCATGCACATGTAGGAGAGGAGAAGGCAGAGAGAGAACCGTTGTCAGATGAAGCTCACATGATCGGCAAAACGCGTCACAGAGGAGAAGGGTCTTTGTTTACACCATGAGATTGCAACCAGAAAGTTTTCCCGAAAGCGGCAAGCTTGGACTTGTTAACAAAGCGCTTCTTGTGGGTCTCATTCATACTGAGCTCACCATAGCTTCATGTAAACATTTGATTTTAGCCTTACTTATATTAAACGGCGTAACACTATTGAGCCTCCTGGTTTCTACTTTTATTTTGTTGCTGCAGTGGATATAGAGATAGATATATATATATATATATATATATATAAAAAAATCAAAAAAATAATAATCAAGAAACGTGTGGGGAATTATCTCCTACTACTTGTAAGCTGTTTTCACGCAGAGCGGGCAAAAAGGCTCTGGTATATGTGAGTGCACTAATTAGGAAATATAGAGGTTTTTCCGGTGTTAAGCAGTATGAACTATGGATATTTTATATTTTTTTCTTTTTGAGGATATATTATCAGTGAAAACATTTAAAGTATTACTTTACTCTTTTTTAATATAAAATATGTATTTGCAAGTGTCACTTTAAATGATTGATATTGATGTACACTTTAGGGTTGATTCACTTATACACAGTTTCTTGCGCGGCACTAAAATTGGTTTATGTTCATTTAATACTAGCAGTATTTGCACATTTGGGGGCTAATCGTTCAGCGCGCATCCAAACCATTTCCAGTTATTATGCAAAGGCTCATTAGTCATTTAGTACATAACACTCCTTTTGTCCATAGGATAAATGGCTTACCTGAGTTGTAACTGTGTCTCTGGAGAGAATATATTCTTTATTTTGAAAAGGATGCTTAGACTGCACCAAACATTGGCCACTTTATCCTAAAACAACAGGCATAAAATAAAATAAACCAAGAATTTTACATTATTTAGAATGTCAAGAAAGTTACATCCATGACGAACATAACACTGAGACTCGAGCTTAGAGGATGGCTAGACTAGTTTACAGGAATAGTAATAGTATCATTTCTATTATTTGTGCTAGCACTCGCCCCCTCCATGTTCTTCACTGCAATAAAACAAACAAATGACCAGATCTCACCTTTATCATAATCAGTGGGGCTGTATTAAAGGGATTGCTGACTTCATATGGCTGACTTTAGTAGCTACATGGTTAAAAGCTGAAAACTGGTTATGACTTGGCAATGCCTTGCTCACTCAGCTGACACTCAAGTTGACATTTTTTTCTTTTTACAAAAATAAGTTATTCCAAGCACCATAACCACTTAATTGATCTGAAGTGGCCATTGTGATTGGGGTCTGTATGTGTAGTGTTTGGCTATGAAAACCCCTCTGTAACTCCACCTTTGGCAGCATTATAGGGGTGTCATTAGCCAGTCTGGAATCAGAGTTTTGGTGGCTAATGTTAATTCAGTGCAAAATTGGTGTTTGACACCTGCACCAGACAGCAAATGGCAGCATGGCCCCCCCTTCAGTGCCACCCCTGTCCTCTAGGGGGAGCGACGACCAGAGGGGAAAGATCAGACTGAGGGAGAACATTTTTTTTTTTTAGATTGGCAGACCAGCAGGGCAAGTGTTACTTTTCTTGGTTGGAGTAACTGGTGGGATATTTTCCCAATTTTATAGTTTTCATCAGAAGCACAAATTTTATAAATTAAACTGCAACAGAGATAGAAATATTTACTGAATCCAGAGTTGATTTACTTGCTATAAAAACACAAGACCAGAAATAGAAACACAACCGTCCCTCTTTAAAGCAATCCACACTAGCTTTCTCCACCTGCTGACAATTGCACCTTTATTTTTACCCTCCCTGGCTGCCCTAAATCATGCACGAGACCTCTGCGGCCTGGCACAAGCTCGCTCCTCTGGCAGCGACCAGGTTAAATAGTAATTTCAGGAACTCTAAAGACATTAACAGTTGTGCTAGGATCACTTTCAAAATTAAATTTGTAAGCACAGCTATCATGCCTGTGAAACTCATCCCTCACACAGCTGCTGCTGGACTCACAGCTGTGTAGACAAGCAGGACTGGAACATCAAGAATCGTTCCCGCACCAGCAAGCCAAAGCAGCCATATACGCTGTGCTCTTTAAAGGGACACTCCAGGCTCCCACACACGTTAAGTGCACTGTGTAGGTAGGTTACACTAAGTTCTACTGGGTGGGTTTATATTATTAAAGGGACACTCCAGTTTCCCACACACGTTAGATGCACTGTGTAGGTAGGTTACAGTAAGTTATACTGGGTGGGTTTATATTATTAAAGGGGCACTCTGTAGGTTAGGTTAAAGGGACACTCCAGGTTCCCACACACACTAGGTGCACTGTGTAGGTAGGTTACAGTTAGTTATACTGGGTGGGTTTATATTATTAAAAGGGGCACTCCAGGCTCCCACACACGTTAAGTGCACTGTGTAGGTAGGTTACACTAAGTTCTACTGGGTGGGTTTATATTATTAAAGGGACACTCCAGTTTCCCACACACGTTAGATGCACTGTGTAGGTAGGTTACAGTAAGTTATACTGGGTGGGTTTATATTATTAAAGGGGCACTCTGTAGGTTAGGTTAAAGGGACACTCCAGGTTCCCACACACACTAGGTGCACTGTGTAGGTAGGTTACAGTTAGTTATACTGGGTGGGTTTATATTATTAAAGGGGCACTCTGTAGGTTAGGTTAAAGGGACACTCCAGGTTCCCACACACACTAGGTGCACTGTGTAGGTAGGTTACAGTTAGTTATACTGGGTGGGTTTATATTATTAAAGGGGCACTCTGTAGGTTAGGTTAAAGGGACACTCCAGGTTCCCACACACACTAGGTGCACTGTGTAGGTAGGTTACAGTTAGTTATACTGGGTGGGTTTATATTATTAAAGGGGCACTCTGTAGGTTAGGTTAAAGGGACACTCCAGGTTCCCACACACACTAAGTGCACTGTGTAGGTAGGTTACAGTTAGTTATACTGGGTGGGTTTATATTATTAAAAGGGGCACTCCAGGCTCCCACACACGTTAGGTGCACTGTGTAGGTAGGTTGCAGTAAGTTATACTGGATGTGTTTATATTATTAAAGGAACACTTTAGGCTCCTACACACGTTAGGTGCACGGTGTAGATTAGGTTACAGTTAATTGGTTATAGAGGGTGTTTTTTTTGCACAACTTTCAATGTTTCCTTTTTGCTCCAAAAATACTGCTGTACATGCTACACAAGGGGAGTTGTGGCATGTTAATTCTGGTTCTTTAAGAATTACAGGGTTAGTGTGCAAAGCACAAGGTCACTACTATGTGTGAATGCAGCCTTTATTTTAGGGTAGGAGGAGTGAGGTATTCTTAAATGGTTTACATCACGTCTTGGACGTCCCAGCAGCTGTTAACTGCTCACCGTGCTGTGTGTGAGAGAGCTCTCTCTTTAAACACTAACAGAGGAATCTTCTTCCCAGCCAGTATTAGCAAAACAGCAAAATTACAAATCAATTCTGCTAGGAAATAACGGCAGCATTAAAACCACAGAATGATTTCTATAAAAGAAAATAATGATGGCTTAAAAAGGCAAACAATTAGCATAGCACATTACAGTGGAAAGAAAGGAGGGCTACCACGGGTACTTTTATGAGCCTATTCTGGCACGCAGACTTACTACGGAATCTATTACAGTGGAAAAAATGTAAAACTGAAGAATGGTTTTAATGGTGTAATATGTTTAATATCTTGGCAGATGGCGCTGAGCTGAAAGTTAACACTCTTAATGCTTGGTTGATGAACGAATACTATTGCATGCACCTACGGCAACTAAGGAGTTAAACTGGAACATTATAAAGTATTTAATTCCACTAGACACCAGTGATGCATCAGGTTTTCCTTTCTCACAAACAGCGAGCAGACAAATCTATAAAAACCACAAATCTCATCCAGTTCATCTAAACTATGTACACTTCTATTTTGAACAGTTAATGCTCATATTTCTTGTTACATAAATCTACATAAATGACAGTAATATAAGCTCAAAGGAAAGTAGTCAAAAATGAATCTAATATTTTTTAAGGTTTTCGTAATTCTTCCAATTCAGGCACTATGTACAAACTCAGAGAGGTTAAGCAATGCGGGCTTCTTTAGGGATCAAGGAGTCTGTGTTGAAATCAGAATTATGGGGAATTAAAGTTAATTTGCATTAAAATGCCATTGGCTTTGCCTTAACAGAAGGCATTAGATGTCAGAGTGAATTAAAAACCTTCTAAACATTTGAAAATGTAATAAAATTAAAGACCGTTTCCAGAATTCCAGGATGAGACAGCTTTGTATGGAACACCAAGAACGGCTACTTTCTTGCTGCATGCAAGTGTAAGATGTCAGAAAAAAAACCTCTAGAGGACACTGACAGGGGATTCAGAAAGACCTGAAAAATAACAGAGCGCTTTCTCTTACCTCAAAGAGCCCGCGGCCCACAGGGAACAGTCTTCTGAGAACTTGGAGGACTTGTTCAGTCGATGTCAAGAATGGAATCCAGCAAAGAGCAAAGGAGAACACCACCGTGACTCCAATCTTCAGTAACACAACCAACCTGCAGCAAAAGCAATGCATTAGGACGTGTCAAAGACCTCAAAAAGGTCCAGAACTCTCAATGCAAACCCTCATTACAAACACATAAACAACAGTAATACAATAGAAATGGCTACCAAGCAGAGCAAAATCAATAAGTGTGAATGGCTGGAAAAAGTTCAACTGTAAAATGAATTAAAAATTTGGGAAATCTGTGGAGAAATGTTTTCAGTTTGGCTATTTTGGCATAAAGGTCCACAAAGGCAAGCAATTAAGTGATCTGGGTGCAGTGGTACTTTAGTTTTAACCCTGCAATATAAAGTACTGCCATTTAGTAATGCTTACATTGCAGGCTTAAAGGGACACTATAGTCACCAAATCAACTTTAACTTAATGAAACAGTTTTGGTGTATAGAACATGCCCCTGCAGTCTCACTGGTCATTTCTCTGCCATTTAGGAGTTAAATCACTTTGTTTATGCAGCCCCCGCTACACCTCCGTGCATGTGACTTACACAGCCTTCCTAAAAAAACTTTCTGTAATGAGAGATCTAAATGTTTAAACCTTTTTTTCTCATTCTGTTTAATTTAGAATTTGTTTATCTCCTGTTGTATTAATAGACTTCTATATTCTTCAGGAGCCTGCTGTGTGTGATTACCTTAATTTACAGAGCAGGAGAAAAGCATTTCATTGGCTAAAATTGGCAAGGGGGTGGGGCCAAATGCCGTTTTGGCCAATCAGCACCTCCTCATAGAGATGCATTGAATCAATGCATCTCTATGAGGAAAACTGAGCATCCTCATGCAGAGTGTGGAGACGCTGAACAGCAGTGCTGCCTACAATGCAGCAATGAGCCAGGAAGCACCTCCAGTGGCCATCTGAGGAGTGGTCACTTGGATGTGTCCCTAGTGGCAATGTAAACACTGTCTTTTCTCTGAAAAGGCAGTGTTTGCATGAAAATGCCTGAATATAATGATTATACTCACCAGAACAACCACATTAAGCTGTAACTGTTCTGGTGACTATAGTGTGCCTTTAACATCTGATTGAATATGAAACCATTTGCTTCATGCAGGCTGTGTAAGTCACATGCAGGGAGGTGTGGCTAGGGCTGCATAAACACAAACAAAAATGATTTAACTCCTAAATGGCAGAGAATTGAGCAGTGAGACTGCCAGGGTATGATATATTCACCAAAACTTGTTCATTAAGCTAGTTATTTTAATGCCTATAGTGTCCCTTTCAATACGTCTCAAGTGGCTGTCTTCCTAAAATAATATGATTTACTCTCTTCCTAAAGTGAAGTCACATCGGGTGGGCCAAGTGACCCTAGGCACAAACATAATTTTTTTTTTTTTTTTTACAAACGAGCATACGTTAATGTTTAGGAGCAAGAAGCAAACATGCAAGAAACTATGAACTTGCCCTTGTATAAAGCCAACAAGGAGACAATCATCATGGAAGAATGTGATATGATCTTCAGTGATAAGGTGTGAAGAATAACTATCTATTTTCAACCGTCATGCGACAAGATCTTTTCTCAAGTCCAAGAGGAAAATAAACACGCTTAGGACTAGAATGAATTTGAAAGTCTCAACATAACACTTGGGCACAATGTCCCAAACAAGCAGCAAGTTGTCCATGCTTTTATTAGGTGTGGAGAAAATTAAGAAACCACAACTTCCCGTGCCAGAATAGACTGACAACTGAATAAAGGGAAAGGCCTTTCCCCAAATCTGCACGTGAAATGCAAGCCTCAGATGGAGGACAGATTAGCCAAGAAGAACTGATGCGCTGAAACGGACCTTCGTAATGCGAGTGTCTGGACAAAACCGTGTAAGAACACACACTCCAAACTGGATTTAATCTATTCGTTTTTTTGTGCATTAAAACTATACACAAAATCTATAATGTCTTTCCCCTTTTACATTTTAGCTCCACTTTTTAAAAACAGAGTTTAGTAAATCTCCCCCCTTGTGTCAGCATCCAAACTCCCAAAGGTGACAGTGCGACTATGGACAGATAACCAGAGCTCTCGCGTGTGTTATGCTATAGTAAACAATGTAGTTATATAGATCTACAAATATAGCAACACCAACTCAACATATCATTACAAATTAAAAATAACAACAAAAAATATCTAAACAAAATCCAGTGATTCATGAACTGCACAGCAAATCTATTTCAAAACTCAATACAGTAATAGGTGCAAGTCTTCTTATGTCTTAGAAGTCAGTCAGATTAGGATTTGTAGCCCCCCTCCCTTTCTAGATCATGCATTGTCCCCAAGGGTCACTTTCCTCTGTCTAGTGACAAGTATTGACATAGGAATACCAGAAAGACCTATGAACTCCAGTCTGGCATGATCAAAGAGACAGGGAGATCCTGTGAATAATTTACAGACCGCAATGCTCTGGTCTGTTCAATATACCAGGTAGTCAGCCTGATTGTCAGGCATAATCACACAATTCATTCAGAATTATAATAAATTCAGGATTATGGATTAGCGATTTTTTTTAAAGCCAATGTTAATGGTGTAAAACTGCAGAAGCATTAACGAATCGCTAGTCTAATGCTTCTGCACCTAATATATCACTGTGGGGACAACAATTTGTGGGGTATTTACAGAAAATTGCTGAATCTCTTTCAAAACTCTTAAACTCTGCATAATTCTTCCCTAAATACAATACATTAAGACAATTCACAAGCAGTTCCCTGAAATAATAAGCCACAGTGACTAGGTTTTATTCTAAATTACTAAATATAATGGGTATTTACAAAGTATACCCTAAAAACTGTAAAAACTGCATTTGCTAAACTTAGCCCTGCATACACTAAATGGACAAAAGTATTAGGACATACCTCTTAAAGGGAAAGCATAGCCACCAAAACAACTTTAGCTTAATGAAGCTGTTTTGGTGTATAGACCCTGCCCCTGCAGTCTCACTTTTGTTTCTGTTTAAGCCGCTCTGGCCACATTAATTTCAGCACAAAAAATGTGCAACAGTATCTTCATGGAACGGGTTTCCATGGCCGAGCACCAAATACAATGCCAAGTGTCAGATCGAGTGGTGTAAAGCATGTCACCACTGGACTCTGGAGCACTGGAAACGTGTTCTGTGGAGTGACGAATCACAATTCTCTGTTTGGCAGGCTGATGGGCAAGTCTGGGTTTGGCGGACGCCAGGGGAATGTTACGTTGACTGCACCGTGTCCACTGTAAGATTTTGTGGAGGAGGGATAACGGTATGGGGCTCTTTTTCAGGGGTTGGGCTAGGCCCTTTGATTTCATGAAGGGAAATCTTAATGTATCAGCTTACCAAGACATTTTGAACAATGCTATGCTTTCAAATTTGTAGAGCCATTTGGGGAAGGCTCTTTTGTATTTCATCACAACTGTGCCCCAGTGCACAAAGCAAGGTCCATAAAACCATGGCTCGATACGTTTCGTGTGGAAGAACTTAACTTGCCCGCACAGAGCCCTAACCTAAACCCCAACAAACACCTTTTGGATTATTATTATTTATATAGCGCCAGCAAGTTCCGTAGCGCTGTACAATGGGATGAACTAGAACGGAGAATGCAAACCAGTTCTTCATGTCCTACATCAATGCCTGACCTCACAAATGCTCTGGCTGAATGGCCAAACATTCCCATAGAAACACTCCATAATCTTGTGGAAAGCCTTCAGAAGAATGAAAGGTATTGTAGTTGCAAGGGGGACCAACTATATATTAATGTCTATGTATTTAGAATGCAATGTCATAAAAGTCCTTGTTGGTGTAATGGTCAGGTGTCCAATACTTCTGTCCATCTATTATAGTTGTGCGTAATAGTATTAACTCACAGTTTAGTACATGAGCCCTATGTTCCCAATGATGGTTATCACAGGAAGTGACAATGTTATTAAAGGGATCCTATAGTGCCAGGAAAACATACCCGTTTTCCTGGCACTATAGGCTCCTGGAGTGCCTGCCTCCCTCTGGGCCCCCCTTCGGCCATTTACCTGAAATCGAGAGTCGATGTCCCTTGGCGCTGGGTCAGGCTCCACCCACGCTCCTCCCCCACCAACGTCAGCCAGCGGGGGAGACCTAATGCGCATGCGCAGCAATGGCCGCACGTGCAGTAAACCATTATTCAATGTTTTCCTATGGGGAAAATCTGACGCTGGAGGTCTGCGAGGAGGTCCAGCATCAGATAACGGACCAAAAGTCCGTTTTGATTCCAGAAGCCCTCTAGTGGCTGTCTGTTAGACAGCCACAGAGGGCAGACTTAGTGCTGCAATGTAAACATTGCAGTTCTCTGGATCTACAATATTTTACATTCCAGCACTAAGTGCAAAAGGGTCACAGCATCCAGGCTACTTCAATTAGCTGAAGTGGTCTGGGTGCCTACAGTGTCCCTTTAAAGCTTTATTTTTTTACTTTGATATTTAAAGTATAAGTTTACAATGGTTTGAAAGTTTCCGAGCACAACAAATAAGCTGGGTTCCCTATTCTTTTTGTATCATGGTCTGTAATTCTGTTGTAAATTAAACAATTTAAAGTTTAGCAGATAAACACCAAAATTATATTAGATGTTTTAGAACCAACAAACGAAACAGATAATACAATTTTTCTATTCAATTATTTAATTACTTTTTGGGGAAAAAAAAAAATCTTTAAAGTTATATGCCTTTATATCCATTGCCTTTTGGCATCAGTTCGCTAAGTATTAAAATATGGTAGATTGGAAAAAACCTGATTGCAAAACTCAGTTTATTTACTTACCCTCTGCTTGTAAGACCCTTTTGAAGACATTTTCCGAGAAGATAGCAGAAAAACGGCAGCGAGTGATAAAGTTCCATCTGTTTGTAGTTTAAAGCAAAGCAAAAGGCCACTGATCCCAGGAGGATCCAGTCACTTGAGAGGGCAATGACCGCCCATAAGGCCAAGCCAAGGCTTACAGAATTATATGTGTGCCTGTGTTAATGATAATACTCAATATGGTATGGATTCTATACATTTATATATACACACACACACACACACACACACGTGCAACGCAATTAAAATTCTATTCATATATACATAATCAAGACAGTTTAGGTCCTAATGAAGAATAATGTATCCAGGCAAAACAGGTGCTATTGCAGGTGCAAAGTGCTAAATATTGAGAGGCACCCGTATCGTTTTCCTAGTGATTGCTCCCTATTTAACACTTTGCTCCAGAATAGCACTAGTTTTTTTTTGTTTTATTTTGTTTTTTTTAATCTACCCCCACATGTCTTATTGCATGCATATATATTAATAAACCTTAGATTCAATATATACCGTATTTTTCCAGGTATAAGACAGTTTTTTCTTCGAATTTATTTTTAGTCTAAAAATGGTGGTCGTCTTATACATGGAATATCACTGCAGGGGTTAAATAAAATAAACATTTGTGCATGGGGCCGAAGCCAAGATGGCGCTCCTCGTGTTTCAGTGTGCCATGGCCCACACACATACCTGGTCTCCCAGCTCCCTAGTGAGAGCAGGTCTGTATTATATAAAAACGGAAGATGGAGGAAGATCCTGCCATTTTTTAATCTCGGACCATGTTGCTCTCGCTACCAATTAGAACCTGATCTGGATCCAGGTCATTAACCCTGAATGACATGAAGCAGGGCCTGTAGACTTTACATCACGTGATCCACTTCTGAATGCTGTTGCAAGGAGGACAGTCCCTATAAGTGATGTCCCAGCATGCCCTCTCACCACCTGCTGTATTATGGGAGCTGTAGTCTCCCAGCATGCACTATGGAGCCATTAACGTCAGAGTACTGTACCTCAGGGGAGGCATGAGAATCAAAAGTCACCTCTAAAATATCAAAGTTGTTCTATTTGATGTTTAAAATATTTATTTCTTCATTTTAAATAAAAAAAAAAAAATAGGAGTCGTCCTATACATGGAAAAATACGGTAGTTACAGTTACAAGCAAATCAGATTTTTAGGTAAATACACAAAGAAATAGCTGAATGATCATACGGTTTTATTAGCAGTTAGAAAAAGATTCTTAAAGACTAATGAATATAAAAATAAAATAAAAAAATACAACAACAGGCTATTTACTAAAGGGAGAATTCAAAGTGAATTTCAAATTTAAGGCCAGACTAGCCAAAATGAAACCACAGCATATAGAGATTTTTTTCAATTTTAGCTACGTTGACCTTACATTTGAAATTCACTTTGAATCCTTTAGTGAATAGCCTGCTAATTTTTTGTTGACTGAAGCAGGTAATGTGAGCCAACATTTGAACAATCAACACTATCAGGGTTATTTACAAAAAAAATAAAATTTGGGGGAATTCAAAGAGAATTTGAAATTTTACACTAGTCAAACTTGTTCCTTAAGTTTGAAATTCTCTTTGAATTCTTAACAGTTCCCAACACAGTAAAGAATCCTTTGTATCTTCTTTTCCCCTGACTACTCCGGTACCTGCAAAGAATGTCAACTGAGGAGAGAAGTTCACATTGACTTAAAAAGGAGGAGTTTAGTTAATGGACGCTACCCATCATTGTGATAAATCTAGACTTAACTACCTTGACAGGTTAATAAAAATTTTTGAGCCCCTAAACATCAACCGTATTATACTCAGCTCTTCTCTTAACATCCCATATAACAGAGAGAGAATACCCATATACCAAAAGAAGGCGCTTATTAGAACAGTGAACAACACTCGTCTTATGCCTGTATGGTTAGAAAAACTTTAATAAATCTAAGGGCCTCAGAAGGAGGGTCCCCATTAAGAGAAAAATCTCCCGACCATGTTTTTTGAGAGGGGTCGAAACCTAAAAGAAAACAGGATCACAAATTTCTTCCCCCCAAGAAGAGAGACATACGACCATTACAACAGGAATACATCTCTCCAGATGGAACCTCTCCCAAAAAGCAAAAGAACGGAAGAGAGTAAAGCAGTCAGGGAAGGGAAAGATTTACATAAAAAAAGAAACGGAGAAAGGTATTTTCAATTTAACGTAGAGAAACCAAGCTGACGGCTGGACTAATGAGATCCAAGTGGGGACATTTAAATGAAACTCTGGAGGGCTTCATACACCTGATGGTTCTGTAATTTAGTTTTTTTCTGATTGTATAACACTGGTCCATGAGGAAGTACACAACATGGACCAAACGCATAGGACCGTTGGTAGAGCATTTTATTTTTATTCTTTGCGAATAATAAAATTTTATCTTTTACTAAATACCGATCCAGGTTGAGGTTCGGAGAAGGAAAAGGTAACCCAGTTCCCAGAGGGTGTGAGCTGCTTTGCCCTCCAGCAACATTGGAGGAGACACCTTGATGTGCTCTTTCTTACCTGCTGCTTCCTTTTTCTCCTAGATTTTATGTCATTTTATATGCTGTATATATGTCCACAATAAAAAGGATATTGGAAGTGCCCGTAGTCTATGAGGATAAGACCAGGATAGAGCAAAATGCAGAACAACAATGAGATCTTAAAAAAAAAAAAAGAAAAAAAAAGCATTATGAAACAAAATGATCTTTAAATAACCACTGCACTAGTGATATTAAATTTTAGTTCAAAGTACTTTTACATTCACTGTGATGTGATCTCAGCACACACTCCACCAATCAGTGATGGAGATGGTGATGTGTCAGTAAGACAACCTGGTTTTTAAATGCATGTAACTTTAAGCAACACTCTAAGCAGCACACCCACTACGTCTTATTGAAGTGGTTATTGTGCTATAGGTCTATAGGCACCGTGCTTGTTTCAGAGCCGCTTCAAGGAGAAAAAAAAATGAAACACACACACACACACACAACAGGTTTCCCTGGCACCATTAAATTCTATTCTCCCTGGAAGGCATACATAGGCTGAGAGCAAGTTAGCCAGGTTCTGTGTCTGCAACGCAAACTTACTTTTCTTTTGGCCGGTGTTTCTTTCAGGCAGATACAAAACAGGATAACAGCAGGGATGTAGATGATCAAATCTGCAACTAAAACTACACAAAGCATTTAGGGGATTAACATTTATACATGACATTTGAGAACAGTGCCAAAATCATTTTAAAAATTACATTTCGTGGGGGCAAAAGAAAATACAAATCTAACTAAAAAGGAAAGAAAATACTCCAAACCTTCAAAAAAAGCTATAATACAATGCAGTGTCAATAGATTACTTAAAGGGACAAACCAGACTAGATCCCCATGTTCTGATTACGTCAACTGGTAAAATTCTCTTCTTGATTACAGTTCCTTATTCAATGAATATATACTTTATCGTAAATATAAATGATATACAGCAATGTATAAATAGCCATTAAAGGACCACTATAGTGCAAGGAAAACATACTCTTTTTCCTGGCACTATAGTGCCCTGAGGGTGCCCCCACACTCAGGGCCCCCCTTCCCGCCGGGCTCCAGAGGGCGGAAGGGGTTAAATTTACCTATTTTCCAGTGCCGGGCAGGGGACTCTCCTCCTCCTCCTCCTCGTCATTGGCTGAATGTGCATGCGCGGCAGGAGCCACGCGCACATTCAGCCAGTCCATAGGAAAGCATTCACAATGCTTTCCTATGGACGCTGGCGTCTTCTCACTGTGAAAATCACTGTGAGAAGCGCGGAAGCTGGATTAACCCTATTATAAACATAGCAGTTTCTCTAAAACTGCTATGTTTATAGAAGAAAGGGTTAATCCTAGCTGGACCTGGCACCCAGACCACTTCATTAAGCTGAAGTGGTCTGGATGCCTATAGTGGTCCTTTAACTAAAGTGACTTTCTTTCATGTCTCATGTTGGGCGGTTACTGGTTGTTACCGTTTAGTTGTGTTTCTGTGTTTTGTTTTTTCCTTTGGTTGTTTAAAACAACGTTATTACTTCTATATGAATGTTACATGGATAATTGCAATTTACTCGACTCCTTTGTACTGTACACATTTTTTTACACTGCTTACGGTTTAACATTTTGTTTCAAAAATGAAAGAAAGATTAAAAAATATGCATACCTGTTGCCCGCATAAACAGCTTGTGTTGGAGACTCTCATACCCATGGGAGTTGTTCAGTGAGACCCAGTCTGGCTCCAACACGTTGGCACTAAAAAAATAAATGCACAATTAGCAAACAATGACCCACAGCTAGCCATGTATTACTATTATTTTTTTTCTTCAAAGGTTGGCTTTAATACACTGTAACACTGAAGTTTGTTTACAATACTGAATTGCAGAATGAAGGATAAAAAGCCAACTTTGGAATACAGCTGAACATTCAAAATCAGTTATTTGCCCAGTTACTGCACGATTCACAGGTTTGTAAATAAACCCCCACTATGTTTGTACCAGTAAACCTGCTCAAAAACACAGTGATCTGCAATCTCCAGAACACATTAAAATCACACATGAGCAGTTCCACTGTTGCCTCTCTTGGGGAATCACCCAGTAGTTCTAAAAACTTTTCCAGAACCTACTTAAGAGTAGCTAAAATCTGTTTAGTTCTTTTCATTGTATGCATATTTCAGGTGTCTTATACAAGAATTCCCCAAAATAAAAAAAAATAAAATAAAAAAAACATCATCTAACATTTACCCAGCAGAAAAAAAAAAAAAAAAAAAAAAAAAAAAAAAAAAAAAAAAAAAAATCTACCAAAATATTGTTTTCTTTCAAAATGATAAAGTCTTTTGCACGCATTGACTCCCAAATGGGTAAGTAAAATAGTGCATTCATCACCCCCCTTATACATGTATTCAATAGGTTGACAGCATGGTTTTCATATTGGATTGTGGGAAAACAATGATTAAATCCCAAGAAACTACTTTAGCTGCAGTACTTCCACTCTCCCTGAAGGACCATTAACTAGAATGATGACTTACATGTAAGCACACAACAGGCTGTGGTAAGCAGTCAACGGTGGGTAGTCAAGCCCCCAGTACTGAAGATTGTTGTCCGTAGTATTAAAGTACCTGTGGATAAATGCACACATTTATTCTAACTTTAGCACAAGCAAAGCAAGCAGGGGCAGCAGCATAAGAGGAGCCCAATTACCAGTGTATGAGAGCTCAAAGAGGTGCTCTAAACACCAAAACCACTGCAGCTCATTTGTAGTGGTTATGGCGCTACAAGTCTGTGGTTGCCATCCACTGTTTTGAAGTAATTTTTTTTTTTTACTTTCAAAATATGGCTGGTCCTTGGTCCCTTGCTCGGTAAGAGCGTTCTCCATCCTTTCCTCAGTTATGGTATCTTTATCTTCTATACTTTTGCACTTGTCTATGAATTACTAGTATAAAAAAAAAAAAAAAAAAAAGTTACAATTGTTCTTGCTACGTATGATTCACCAGCAATGCTGTTTATTCAATTTAAGAAAACATTGCCAGGACATACTTGAAAAACGAGAGAAATCTCAATGTATCTTTCCTGGTAAAATAGTTTATACATAAATAAATATTGCAGTGATCAGACTTCATCTGTTGTATGACTACATTGTATTCAGTGTCAGAACGCACTGCTATTGTGGCTGACAGGTTTTTCTTCTTTACAATTGTATAACTTGCACATTTTTAAAGCAATGTAGAAATATAAAGGAAATGGAAGAAAAAAATATCAGGCCTTTCTCTGACACACACAGCCTGGATGAGCCCTATATGCTGCATTAAGAATAGACAAACTACACTTTTGCATTATCAAATGTGATCCAACCATCCAACCTGGATTACACAGTGAAGGAGCTGGGAATGGGTAGGTCCAGTGTTGGACCAGAATTGCACTTGATAATGGAGACGTATAGTTTCTACATTACCAGATTGGAATAAGAAGGGGGATGTACATGTGCACAGGAGAGCCCTTTCTTAAATGGACATTGTAGGCTTCATCTCACTGAAGTGGTTATGGTGTCTGAAATCCCCTGGCGCTGTTCTTCCATTCAGCAATTAACTGTTTTTAGTGTGAGACCCAAGAAATCCATCCACTCTGTGCTGCGTGGACTAGTAAGGATGCATTACCCTAAGCAGCAATGGGCTACTGCTGTCATAGGCAGCGTGTCAGCTGACCGCTTTCAGTCTATTACAGCTCCCAATCTCTGCCTGAACCATAACTCCAGAAAGGGCCAGGTGTGGGTGGCCAGTGACCCTTAATCAGTGTCAAACAGCTCGAGAATGGTTTAACACAATAGAAAAATTAGATGAAATGGTTACAGTGCCTACAGTGTCCCTTTAAGTCAAACTACTTCAAATAGCTTTGAGGAGGTATTTCTTATAGACATATAGAACTATAACACCTGTTGTAATGTCCCCACTTTAGTGAGGAGTTTATTAAAGTGTACAAACCATTGGTGAACTGGAAGGTTGAAGGTTATCTCTTGCCAATGTCTCTGGGCTTCATAATCTCCAAACATTGGAGGTTTTCCAGCTCCTGAAAAGACACGGAAAGGGGAAAAAATATAGAACAAGCAATCCATTGCAATGGGTTCATTTATTCTTCACATAAAACATTTTCCATTTCAAGGTAGAACAATTTCACATTATTTTTTTTTTTTTAAACTATTTTATTCTGACTTATTTTATAAATAAACGAAGAAACTGTTCTTTCTAATTAAGGGGTCAATTAAACAAAAAACAAAAAAAATTCTGTTGCCACCATGCCATATGTGTTGACGGAGCTGGAGTTATACCTATGGCAGCAGAGGGGTAAACTCTTTATGTGTAGCACATACAGACTCCACATACCATGACAACTTCAAGTCAGTGAAATCATCATGGTGCTTGGAGTAACCCTTTGAAGTTGTTTGTTACACCACTTTTTAGTACTCCTGAAAAAAAATGTGAGAGATTCTTTAAAAGTTAACTTAAAGAAACACTATAGTGTTAGAAATACAAATGTATATACCTGTGTCCTGTAGCCATGTAGTTTATGGCTCCCCTCTCCCTCCAGCGGGCCCATAGAGGAGGGTGTGGGGGGTAGGGGTAATGGGGCCAGGAAGATGGTATACAAGGCGCCACTGCACAGCGCTCAGGCATGAGAGAGAAAAGCAGTGGCCGTCCACTGCACTTCCAGCTCAAATAGGCAGCAGAATCTGCAGTGTTTCATAGTAGCTGCAAGGCACCAGATTTAGAGGAGTTCTGTGGCCCCAGTAGTCTCTTATATTGTCTTCTGTTAATTTCCTGGCTTTGGGTGAGTTTATGTATAAGTTGTATTTGAGTAAACTCCATAAATTGCAGGAGCTATGCTAACTTGCAGCCAGCTAGCATGGTGGTTCGGCTCCGCCCCCAGTCCCACCCCTTTTTGTCTAAGATAGATTTAATCTTGATGATCAAAGCCAATCCAATGTTTTTTTCATGGGAGGCTAATACGCATGCACTGCAAAGAGATGTGCTTCACCAATCAGATCTAATTGACATAGTAACGTTTCACTCCGCTATTTCTGTGGAAGCGCCTCTAGTGGCTGTTAGTGTAACAACCACTGAACGCATTTAAACCCTGTACTGTAAACAATGCCATTTCAGCAGAATGGCAATGTCTAACATTCCAGGGTTAGCCAGACAGGGACATAGCACCCAGACCACTTAACTGAGATGAAGTGGTCTGGGTTCCTATAGAGCCCCTTTAAATTTAGCTTATTAAAAAAAACAGTATTAATACTACAAAAAGAGCAAACTGAAAACATTTGTTATAAAATACTTTATAAAGATGTGGCCCAGGCCACTATAAACTAGCTGAATGTACTTTGCAATATGTTCAAAGTTGATGCTATATAGTTTTGAACGGCATGCTTTGTAGGGCACTGGCTACAAAAGAATTTTTAGTACAAAACAGAAATCAGGTCAAGTTCACTCAACAGCAAAGTGTAGTGAATTGAGAACTGAATTGCAAAATCCAGGCTCCACTCAGCTTTAGCTGTGTTTAGGCCATTTGAGTCTGAATTTTGCAAATTGGTTTTAGAATCTCTACAACTCTGCTAATAAGTGTCATTCTGTTTGTACTGCTACATGCAGCACAGTGCCCACCACATGCACAACTTGGACTAGAAGTGGAATTTCCCCATTTAGATCTTCCTACAATATTTCCATTTAAAGCGGATCAGTCGATTTTCAGTATTCAATTAAGATACATTCTTTATGAAATAGTGATCCTGACTGCGTTGGAATTACACTGAACTTCCAACACAATCCAGAGATAATGGAAGACAAAGTAGGGACCATTTTGTCTTATGATAAATTTGAGGTTGAAAAGAAGAGGAGTTTCGCCATCAAGTTATGTCCAATCCCAGCAGCTGTCACAACTGATGGCAGTGGGATTCAGACATTGATCTTCGGAGGATCCTCCATACACCTTGCGTTGTCTGCCCTGGACGGACAGGGGGGATAAAAGCCTTTAAAGATTTTACTCATTCATTCAGAAAAAGAAAAACAAAGCAAAACAACAACTAGTAATATAGTTACTTATATTTCAAATAAAATAAATCACTGTTTTCTTAAACATGAATCTCTTTGTGCATTAAAGACAATAGGACAGATTTATCAATGTCATGCCAACAGTTTCAGGTGTAATTTTCTTAACAATTTAGTAAAAAACTGTTTTATTTTATTTAGTAGTACCTTCTTTTGCGTCCTGAAAATCATTTTTGAATATATGCCATATTTTCCAGCAATGGATTTTATCAATCTTTGGGCCATGTGAAGAAAACCATCACTTTTTACATTATTTTTGTTTTCATTAACCATCCTTAATGTGTTTATTTATATTTATTGTTTTGATGGGTTTGCCCTTTGCAGTCTATATTAATAGGGTTACCATGACAACTCAACCAAGCGATGCAACAGCCGTACATGATTGCACTGCTATTGATAGCATTTTGACACTGAGTTTCAGGCAGCAGTAGTCACACGTTAATGGGTGGGTGGTCTGCCTGTCAGTCGCTGAATGATAGCTGCATTCTTGTGGATTCACAAAGCTACTTCCATCCTGTTGCAGGGAAAGTCTCTACCATGTAGGTATCTTTACTGCCTGGTACCCCAGCAGTGAGACAGGCACCTTCACAGTGCCCCTATGGCCTGGCCTAGCAAAGCTGCAGCAAATAGCCGTTACCCCTTGCAGTAAATCATTTAATCGGTGGAAAGTGTCACACTGTAGAATTCCTTTTATGAACTCAGGCATGTCTTTCAGTAGTTGAATAAGAGCTCTTGGCTTACATAGCCTTGCACCTGTTCGCTTCAGCATTAATGTTCCTTTGACCAGAAATCAAAACATGACTAATGTGATTAACCTCTTTATTCTATTTCTGTTTTTTAACAGTCCAATCGGCTCCTTAAGGAACGAATATCCATCAGCGTAACGGCATCTGCAGAGGCTTGTTATCACCCTCGACTTGTAAGCTTGTACAATCGTAGTGCTATATTGAAGAGCCGGACAAATCGCTGGTTGGTATCAGGATGTCTGAACTATAATTGGCTGTGTCAACCAGTCATCACCGAGACATGTTTTTTCCAGTTCAATTAAATCTCTTATCACTTCTTTACAGTAGGAGGATGCTCATCAAAATTCAATAAACTGAATGCTCTGACTTAAAAAGAAATACAGAATTTAAATAGTGTTTTAGGTAAATTAAGAAATATTTCTTGTCTGGTTTAAAAATAATAATGGTGTTTTAGGACTATATAATAACTATGAATAAATCAAGTGAAATATAGCATTAGAAAGTCAAAGCATCAAAGCCCACTGTAGTGCTGATGATGCCAGGAGTACCCTGGCCCGGTGTTCCGGTAATGGGGCAAACAGTTTTCCAATTTACCTGAGTCTTACCTGCTATTACTTGGGTCCCTGCAGCACCCAGTGCAGAATCCAAAAGTCCATCCCGCTGGCCCTTCAGTGACGGAAAGCATCTGTGGACTGCTCCCAGCCAACAATATGAACAGAATTAATATTAGCCACCCAGGAACTATTGTTCCGGCCTGGCTAAGGTTGCCCAATAATGCTGCCGTATGGGGGAGGGAGAGGGAGATTTTTTTTTTATTATTTTTTTTTTTTTTACACTGCGGGGTCAAAGTAGCAGGACCACTGCACCGAGACATAAATCCTTTGAATGGGACCATTTACAAAATAAATCTGTATGTTTAAGAGTTTGTATTGTTATTTATTAAACTCCACAGCAATGGACAATAGGTGGACTAACAAACAAGTAGCTGCAACAAGATAAGTTGGATGCACAGGAACGAAGGTGCTATATAGTAACAATGCATGCGGGGTCAGACACCACAAAGTGATGAACGGACACATAAAGGATATTCTAATTGGCATATAATGCACATTCCCGACAATAACAAAACAGTGTGCAAATACACAAAATGCAAACAGACAAGGTATTTTCCAGCCGATGGCAACACAGAGTCTGTGGAGTTTTCTCTACAAATAATGCACAATAAATACATTGTGAATACTATATTAAAATATTTTCATTTAATAATATTATACACTTAAAAGGGATACAGTCACTTCTCTGAAATTTACACAAATAAAAATTAAAATGGGCTATAACTTGGGGGTGGGGCGTGACTGCAGAGCTAAGAGAAAGCTAGCCTCAGCAGCTCCTGCCATCTGGGGCAGAAAAGCAGATTTCAGTGACCTAAACAGCAATTCATTGACACACAAAGGCCACCAAGCAAAAGGTGACACAGAGGAGCACAAGATGACACCACCCAAGCGACATTTTAACCGATACACACCTGAAACTCTGGTGATGCCTACAAGCATGGAAGGCGCGGGAGAGATGGACGCTCTCCTGCCGCCACGAACAGCTGGCTTGCTGGCTTCCTGACTCTGAGCCCTCGTGAGTGTCCCCCCTCACCCCCCGGACCGATGGGGGTTATCCCTATCCGCTCCCTCACAATCCCCTTGCAAAGCTGTGTGAAAGCGACACGACCACGAAGTCCTGAGCCTAATTCTAATGAGGCCTACAAAATGGCGGATGCCTCTCACGCCGCAGCCCTATGCAGTGCAAAGAGGGAAACTGAGCTCCGCCTCGACAGAATCTTCAGCTCCTTCTGGGAGAATCTTGAGGCCTGGAGGCCCTGCCCAATTCCATGCCACAAAACCAAAAACGGATGGTTAAATTGCAGGACACAGGAAACCCCCTCACACCCCCCTTTCCCCCCCTAGCTTCACTACTATGAAAGGCCGGCAACGGAAGGGACCATCTGGGGAGCAGACTCATGGAGCCTACCTGAAAGCAGCGGCAACCCAGAATCGACTTTCAAGGCCATGGGAGCGCCCTGGACCACCTCACCATCCAACAGAAACTCGGCAAGGGACCCAGAGAGGCACAGCTCACCTGAGCCAAATGAGGAGAAGGTGGGGCGCGAGGCCCAAAACAGCGGCAGCATCGGGTCGGCACTCCGGGACCCGCAGCAGCCCACGACCTGCATTTGGTACACTTCCAGACCCACACAGGGGACTTTGTGCACCCCACCAAGTGAACTTCCACTCCACACCGGGCCTATCAGCCCCTGTACTCTCGGACTACCAAGACTGATACATAACTCACTACAAGGGGACGACACTATGGAATCACTGGGCATCGGCTGATCCTTAAGCCATATATGAGCCGCTACACCTGGCAAAGTGCCTGCTGCTTCCAACCAATGGACTCAAGAAACATACTCATTAGGGTTCATTATAGACCTCAGCGAATCTACTGTTAGGTATATGCTTACTTCACGCACCATCGCCCACTAGGCCTTAGAAGCAAGGCAAGCGTCCTTGACCACTCAGGGGATCCCAGCGGGGGCATTACTTCACATTAATTAATCATTGATCACACACTTACATAGGCATACTCATATCATTTTATTTAATCCTACTGTCAGTTTGCAAGACCTGTTTCCCTCCATGCTTAATGACCCAACAGGGGTAGTCTCCCGCCTTAGCCTGTTACTTATCTTTTACCCAGACTAGCATATATGTCAGGGAGGAAGCAGTTATTTACACTAAGCATGCCACTCTTCTGTTTTAATGTTTATGTTTTTCCTTTTGTGACATATGTTTAGACCTTTTCGCAAGAAAGCCAACTGTTATATGCTCATTCAACATAGACATACCTGACTAGCATGTGTCCATCTACATTTCCCAAAAATGTGCAAGAAATCTGCATGCCATGACATTGTTATAACATGTATGTTATTATTTGGGTTTGTTCCACTGTCGTGGCGCATCTGCTTTGTTCACTATTTGCAAGATTGACCAAAAAAAAATTGGGCTATAACTTAACATGTTTTATGTGACGCTCAGATTACTTTTAAGTTTAAATTAAAGATTTAATAAATGACATAAGAACCCAGTACAGTCCAGGTACCGCCAGGGCACACATTGCAAATAAAATAATCATACAAGTTTCAATTGTGGAACATTTAAAATATATATAAAATAAATATTTCAGTTTATGTCTAAGTGTCATCCAACCTTTGCGGACACAAGTGAAACAAAAGGATATAATGCCGACCATAGGATACAGATTCTAACCACATACTCTGCTAAATGTCATTATAAACTTTGATGAAGTATGCTTTATTAAAGGTAAACATCCCACCATTAGATATGAGCATATACCAAACAATCTGATGTGTAAAGGATCTGCCTAAGTACCATAACCTCTACAAGCACATGTTAGTGGTTATGATGCTTATATTGTTCCATGATGCAGAGTGGGTTGGTGCTTAAATGGATACTCAAGAACCATAAACAACATAAGTCACGGTGCAAGGAGGTCCCTATCTTCGTTTTATGGTTTTCATTACAGCTGCAGCAATTTTCAAAAATGGCTATAAACAAAATGTATACTTAAAAACTGAACCCCTAAATTTAAATAAAGGTATAGGCAAAGCATCATTGCAATTGTAGTTCTATAACATCTGGGGATTTGCGTTTTGTCCAGTCCTGTTTTAATGTTTCTTTTTTGTTTTTAAAAATCTAAAATAAAGAATTAAACAATTGGATATGGAGATTTAACATGAGTCAGAAACAGACCCCTCCCCAATCAAGAGCCTCTGGTTTTGGTCTATGTGGTCTGGTGCTATCCCCAAAACACTCGGGTGATTCAAGAATAACCAGTTTATTCCTCAGTAGAAAGTTCCACTCATCATATAGGAAGGGTGGTAGTACTCTGTAAATGGAGAGCAGCCATAATGCTGCGGTTATCCGCAGTAGTCCATTTTAGTGAATTGGGTGTGTGCAGAGACTGACAGCAGGGGACTTTAGAGAGAGACCATAGTTCACGTTGTGCTTATGGTTTGTTGTGCACATTGACACACAATATGTACAGAGCTAACACAACTGCAAAGGTTTTGCAAATCACTCCAGTAATGGACCACTCTCAAAGCTGACTATGCATTATAGGAGGCAACCAGCATTAAAGCGGCACTGTCATGCCGAACTTACCTTTCCTCAATCTCTTCCTCTTCTCCCCCTCTCTCAGGATCTGTTATTCTTTTCTTCCTATCTTCTTTAGTTTTCTTTAAAATCATAAGACAAAGTAGGGACTCTTTGCCTTATGGAGGATTCCTCCGCTTGACCAGCTCTGACCAGCGGAGGAGCAAAGTGTGCTTCATTTCCGCTGGTCAGAGCAATTTTCCCATGATCCCTAGCTTTCCTCAGTGTTCCCACAATGCTTCCTGTCATTTTACATGAAACTGCCGAATTGCGTTCTAACTGAATGACAACAGTATGTTCGTTTCTTTTAGAACGCAATTCGGCATTTTATTCGGATCGGAATTTCATTCTAATGAATGAAACTCTGATCCTATTCATTGCTGTGGCTGCATCTTGCAGCCGCTTAGTAGATAACTCCCTAATTCCCACGGTATCAGGGAGCTATCTACTTAAAAGGCTGAAAGACCTAAATTGGTCTTTCAGCCAGTTCTACTAATAATACTAAGTAAAGATTACTTAGTATTAGTATTAATGCCTCTACCGCTATACCGCTGGTAGGGCATGTCTAGTAACAGTGAGCAGCCTGTGGCTGCTCACTGTAAAAACTGGCCCCACCCAAACCGACGGGTGGGGCCCTAAAATAATAAGTGGGGAGACTTACTGCCCCCGCTCATTAGTAAGTGGGTGGGCTATATGGGGGGCCTACTGCCCCCTCATTCTCACTATGGCCCCCACCGCGCCTAGGTGGGGGCGGGGGGGGTGGACAGTAGGTCCCCCATTCTCATTATGGCCTCTCATAACTGCCCCCTCATTCTCACTGTTTAGGGGTGGGGGCCAATAGTTGTTTTTTGTTTTACAGTGAGCAGCCACAGGCTGCTCACTGTTTAGTGGACATGCCCCTACTCGCGGTATAGCGAGTAGGGGCATTTGGGAGATTTTATCTCCCTTGTGCTATTATGGGGGGTCATATTGACCCCCATAGAGTGAGAGGGGGACCTGGGGGGCTTATGAAGTGGTGGGGAGCACTGCTCCCTGCCGCTTCTATAGTTACATATTACAAGGAGGGAGCTGCGTGCCGGTAGCTCCCTCCTTGTAATAAACTAAACGAACAAACAAACACTGATACATTGTGTTTGTTTGTTCGGCTGATCTTTCTATTCACTCATTCGTCTGTCTGATGGATGAATGAATAGATGAAATTCCCGTTCGCATGTCCAGGTGTTTCACTGGGCATGTGCGGGAATCTCACAGTCTGCCTAGTGTGGGCTGATGACGTGTCCCTGAGGGACTTCACCTACCCACACAAAGATGGCGGCGCCCTGAATATAGATCGGGGCAGAAAATAAGGATTAAAAAATAGGTAATGTGGGGGGCTTAGGGGCATTTGGGGGTGACTAGTGGGTCAATTGGATGTAGTGGAGGCGGGAGAGGGGTTAAAAAAAAAACAGAATTCGGCATGACAGTGCCGCTTTAAACAGGACTACCTAGCAGATAATTTGGTATTTCTATTCCCTCCTCCTCCCCCCTCCAATACAAATAAATAAAATAATAAAAATTATATAAACTAAAACCACAATTAATTGTATTCCACTGGCTGGACATTATTAATATTATTAATATTATTTTACCAAGCTAGCACTGTACCATAATGCAAGCTTTCCAAACAATGGCAATATGAGGAATAGACTGTCAGCTCTTCAGCCAAGCACAGCCTTTGCATGCCCTCCCCTGCAGGTGTACAGTTAATTTACCTGAATAGGGTCCCAGGGACACTGCCCATCTCACAGTGAGTGCCAGCAGCACAGCCAGAGCTGCCAGTGCCCGGGTCTCCATGGCTCCCTCCCACTCTCACACTCAGTCCTTCTCTTCCTCTTTCAGCTCATCCTCCAACTGAGCCACTCAGCATTAGCTCCACGTCACGAGCGCGACGCCTCCGCCAAGCCGGCGCCATGCTATGAGGTCACACGCTGCCTGTGTTACCATGGTGATACAAAAGCCTGGGCAAACAGGTTTCCAGGCAGCCATGTTGGATGAGGGCAAAGTGTCCTTTTAACCCCATGGAGAAAGTTACACTTATAGCAAACAGCATTATAACACAGTGTTTTTATTAATTTAAAAAAAATTTTTTTTAAATATATCAGGCAATTATGTGTTTCAGACACATGGATACACATTTATGGGCAGCAAATAAAAATAGTTGAATTTAAATGGTGCTGATAGGGAACTGCAATATTTGATTGCTGCATACTATAGGTCAGCACATTCAATATACAATAAGCACTCATTAGTAAATATCAGTGTGAAGATATGGCATTCCTCCCAACATTTCATATAGACACATTCATATTAGGGGTGTGAGACCAGGAGTTAGGCTGTTCTAAAAGATTTCAGGTGACTTACTATTAACAATTTATGCAACTAAAGAACAAAAACCATGTGTTTTATTTCCACAGACTGACTTATTTTTTGTTTTTGTTTTGATTCTTTAGATTAGAATTCATTTAGTATGTAACGCAATACAATACAGAGATGCAGTGTCAACGTAGAGCGTAAGGACATATTTTCTGTTGCAAAGACAGTTAGAAATAACATTGTGAACAAAACATGACAAATAATGTCAATAAATCACAGCGACAAGTTTCAGCAGGGAAGTAGCAAAAGTCCTCTGGGACCCGGGTATGGTGAGTATTTGCGAGCAGCGAGCTTTAGGTAATGAGAGGATAGTGCCAGAAAAGTTTTAGAAGAGGGTGAGGGGAAGAGTGTGAAAGCGGGGGAGAGAGAGGAAAAACAATATATATTTCTTTTCCTTTTTTCATTTCTGAAGTCTTTTAAAAAGTGCTGACCTCGGGGGGCGTGTCCAACAGCCGGCGCGTGCGGTCGCATGGAGTAGGAGCTCCCGGCCACAACGGACCCGAACGCAATATTTAGGCGAACCCGGAGGTCAATTCCCGGTAAAAAACTTACCCAGCACTTAATACAACGACATGGCACCGTCCAAACAATTAAAAATGACGGACCAAATGAAAACCGCCAGAAAAGAAAAAAGTAGGCCCCTGCAAGATGGCGACGACAGCATGGGCTGCTATCCGACACCAGATCAGCTTTCAGATAATGACACAACGCCCTCCTCATACACAGAGGCACCAGCCAGCGAAAAAAGGCTGTTTATAATGCTGCAAGACCTGAGAACCACCTTAAATGCGGACATGAAACAAATGACTGCAGAATTTAAGCGGGAACTGGCCGACATTGGGGACCGCACTGACCGCCTGGAGGTACGGACGGAAGAACTGTGCGCCACACAAAATGACCTTGCAGAACAACTGCAGGCGCTCAGGGAAGAACACCTAACACTGAAAAGAAAAACGGCAGATATAGAAGACCGCTCCAGGCGCAATAATGTAAGATTCAGAGGCATCCCCGATAGTATATCCCACGACGCACTCCCTGACTATATAACAGGCCTCTGCACCACTCTGGCACCGGCCATAGAGAAAGACAGATGGCTTATGGACAGGGCCCATCGCATCCCTCGGCCACCGCGATTCACGAGTGACACACCAAAAGACACGGTGGTCAGATTCCACTTTTTCAAGTCAAAAGAAACACTGATGGCTGCGGCGCGCAAACTACAGCAGCTCCCCTCACCATACCAAGGCATCCAGGTATACGCAGATCTCTCAGCGCTCACCATGGAAAGAAGACGGGAATTCATCACAGTCACGAAGACTCTACGCAACCATAACATACAATACCGCTGGGGCTACCCAACTAAACTCCTACTATGGAAGGACAACACGCATCATAATATTGACACTCCTGATGAGGGCCTACAACTCCTGTGAAAATGGGGACTATTTGGGACCAAAGACCCTCCACCACAGAAACAGCATGCGCACCAACGACTGCCGACGGAATGGCACATGGCGGGCTCACCTAAGCCACAGCAACCACAACAAAATGTATAACGGGACTAAGTGTAGAGCACAAGAAAGACCAGGTCTATATGTGACATCCCTCAACTGAAGAGACACCAATATGTATGTATGTATGCACTGACATGATTGACACACTAGCACTGCATACTTCAGATATCAACTCCATCGGAGTTCATAATAGGCCCTGGCAAGGCGACACAAAACACAAAACACAAAAAAAAAATAAATAAATAAAAAACACGCCTTACTTCACACATTTGTTTAAAGGGCCGTTGACACGGCAGCACACCTCAGTTCACGCCTCCCAGGTTGATCCGCGGCCCGGTTTAGGAGCGGTCCGCAGACCAACCAAGTACAATGCCCGCATCCCAAAGGGCATCATGTATATACTTTGTTTATGTTTTGTTGTTTTTATTAATGTTAATGTTTATGTATATGTTCATGTACCTACCACTGCCCAATACCCGGCTAAGCCACCTGAAACCAGGCAAACACTCCCGAACCAAGAGTATCCCGAGCCAACCCTCAGAGGCGCAACATGATATGCGCAGCACTAAAACAAGGCGAACTAACTTCCCCCCAGATGAATGCCTAGCACTAACTGCACCCAACTCCCCTGACCCACAACCCTGATGGCTAACACATTACAACTACTTTCTCTTAACGTTAAAGGCCTTAACAGCCCCCATAAACGAAGGTTAGCTGCGCAGGAACTACGTTCATCCAAGGCAGCAATTGCCTGCCTGCAGGAAACCCATTTCTGTAAACGTAATCCACCGAAATTTTCAGTGAAACAGTATGCACAGGCCTTTCATGCCTTCTCCCCAACTAAATCCAGGGGAGTCTCTATACTCTTCCACGACGATTGGGCATTCACGATGAGCAAACAGCATACCAATAGAGACGGCAGGCTACTTATATTGGTGGGAGCCTTAAACGGTATAGAAATTACCATAGCCTCACTGTATGCACCTAATGAGGGCCAAAAATCATTTCTCACCTCAGCAATGAGAAAACTAGACAGATATAAGAGGGGCCATGTAATCTTATGTGGCGACTTTAATTGCACGACTGATCCATCTGCGGACGTAAAACGAACGGGGAACAAAGGCCCCAAAAGCACGTCTATCTCACTAGGACGCCACATGACCAAATTAATCACGCTACATGACCTCTATGACTCATGGAGATGCCTCCACCCCGCAGACAGGGACTATACGTACTTTTCCCCGGTCCATATGACATATTCTAGGATAGACTTATGCCTCATTGACAAGAGCACCCTAACACACCTTGTTGACGTCTCTATAGGTCCAATAACATGGTCTGACCACGCGCCGCTTGCGGTTACGCTTCGCGTCCCGTACCCGGCTCGTGGAAGGGGCACATGGCGCATGAATGAAGCTTTAGTGGACAACCCAGACAACACCAAAACCATAAACAAACAAATCACCGACTTCTTTGAAAATCACGCAAACTGCACAACAAATATTACAACCCAGTGGGTAACACATAAGGTGGTAATAAGAGGGACACTCATTCAAATGGGAGCTAAAAACAAACGACGAACATGCTTGCAGAAAACTGACCTAATATCGAAACTCACAACTTTAGAAGCCTCCCATAAGCAAAAACCCAGAAAACATACCCAGAAACAATTAGAACAAATACGGCTCCAACTCCATGCCATAGATCTGAACAACACCGAAAGGCACATGCGCTATCTCAAACAATCCCACTATGTTGAGGGCAATAAAGCAGGGAAATTGCTAGCTAGGAGACTTAAAAAAAGATATCAAGCGTCTAAGCTGCCATACATAATGTCCGCAGCAGGTGACAAACTCTTCAACCCACAAGACATGGTGGAGGAATTAGCCTCCTACTACGCCACGCTTTACCAACTAGACAATGACAGGACTACTTATCAACCTACAAGGAGAGACTTACAAGCCTTCTTTACTGACATTACCCTCCCGACCCTTACCCAAGAACAGAAAACCTCTCTCGAAAGGCCATTCACAGATGAGGAAATCCGTTCCACGATAAAGTCTTTACCAAAACGAAAAGCGCCAGGCCCAGATGGATTAACGAACCACTACTACCACATGTTTGGAGACACACTGACCCCACATCTTACCAAACTTTTCAACCATATTAAACGAGTAGGAGCTGTCCCACCAGAAATGCTGGAAGCCCATATCGTAACCCTTCCAAAGCCCAACAAACCCCCCACCATATGTGCCAATCTCCGACCCATCTCCCTACTAAATGCTGATATCAAACTTTACGCCAAACTACTAGCCAACAGAATAAAACCATTCCTACCCAGATTAATCTCGAAAGAGCAAGCAGGGTTTGTCCCCGGAAGGCAGGTAGGAGACAACACCAGGCACTTTATCAATCTAATAGAATGGGCACATAAATCGAACCAACAAGGGATTCTCCTGGCTCTCGACGCTGAAAAAGCGTTCGATCGCCTGAACTGGGAATATATGACGATGACACTCGAAATCATGGGATTCCCCCAACCCTTTATAACCAGCATTTTGGCGTTGTATAGCTGCCCTTCGGCAAAAATATATAACACCGGATTCCTCTCAAAAGCCTTTAATATCCGCAATGGCACACGCCAGGGGTGCCCACTCTCTCCACTCATCTTTATCTTGTGCTTAGAACCCCTGATCTATAGCATAAAAAATAACCCCTCAATCCGAGGGCTCAACACCCCAACAGGGGAGCAAAAACTGGCCCTTTTTGCGGACGACATAATAGTATTTATGACAAAACCGATACAATCTATCCCGGCTCTCACTAGAACACTGAACTCATATGGGTCGGTATCATACTACAAAAATAATGCAGCCAAAACCCAAGCCCTCCCCATAGGCCTACCACATAATATAATTAAAACACTGAAGGAAACACATAACTTCGACTGGCGGTCGAAATCGATTCAATATTTGGGGATAAAACTGACAAAAAATGTGCACTCACTAACGACGGAAAACCACACACCTATGATTCATAAACTAATGACCCAAATGAACAAGTGGGAAGGACTGGAGGTGTCATGGTTGGGGCGCATTAACACCATCAAAATGATGATCCTGCCACATGTGCTCTATCTCTTTCGCACACTTCCCATACCCCTGTCAGCCAAACTGCTAAAAAGGTTCCAAACCATAATCAACGCCCATGTATGGAAACGCAAACCACCCAGACTGGCTGCTGCCAAACTAAGCCTTCCATACACGAGAGGAGGACTGGGAGTACCAAACATCCGTAACTACTATAGAGCATCCCTTCTTGCACAAGGCCTACGTATAATCCGAACCACGGGCGCCGACCAAACTCCACTATGGCTAACCCTCGAAAACGCCTGCATACACCCAGCCACTATCCCAAATGCTCTCTGGCTCCACGAGCCTAAATCAGTGGGTAAAGAAGGACTATGGTGCACGCAAACAACACTACATACTTGGGAACGTTGGGGTCCAGAGGTAATTGACGCACAAACACTACATAAGGAAGCACCACTAACTGCACTGCAGACCAGCTCACCCGACCTCTCCCTCCTCACATGGTCAAACCTAGGAATACATAAAATAAAAGACTTATACACCCAAAACGAACTGAAAACATTCCCCACTCTGCAAAGCGAATTCTCCCTCAATCCAAGAGACATCTTTACATACCTAAGGGTTAAGAACATACTACAAACACGTATTAAACCGGCAGCACCCACACCACCTTTAGCAATACCCTCAGCCCGTTATATACTGACATCCCGCTCCATCAAACCACTAGCCTTATGCTATAATGCACTAGAAAAGGGAAAATCCATGCATAAACACTCCTATATGGAAAAGTGGGAGGAAGACATAGGGGAGCCAATCACTATACAACAATGGTATGACGCCTTCCAAGCCACTAAACGAGCATCAAAAAGCCTATCTCTGTGGGAAGCATATAGCAAAATAGCAATGCGTTGGTATCTAGTCCCCCTCAGACTGGCAAAGATATTCCCCAACACCTCACCACTATGCTGGAGATGTGAACAACAACAAGGGTCTCTACTGCATATTTTCTGGGAATGCCCAGTCATAAAACCATTTTGGATCGCTATCCAAAAAGTCATAAGGGAAACTACTAACTTGTCAATTCCACTAAACCCAGCACACTACCTACTCCACATACTACCTACGACAAGCCCAACAAGAAACCCATTAAGCACAATCGCCATAATCATACTAACCGCGGCCAAAGTCGCGATCGCATCAAAATGGAAACACAATGTGCCCCCAACTCAGGAGGAAGTAACACGCAGAGTAGACAGTATATGCATATATGAACAGATGGCACACAAAATACAGGGAACATCTGAGAAACACAACACCTACTGGAGAGGATGGCTGGACGCCCGGAAAGAGACGGTACAGGTAGACAATCACTAACCTACATACAAAACTAAGATAGCTGAAATCGGGAGAAATTGCATCACACAAAGAGTGCAACTTACGGCAACTGACAAACAGACGGCCCTATAAGGACCCAAACACATACACTGCACGCACTCAGCTTCTAGGCCGGATGGGTCAGACGTACAGTCAAATTATAGGTACAGTTAAAGTTAAAGGTTATCCCCTCCCCAACCCCTCACCCTATCCCCGGTTGCATGATATGACAGACACACCTAAAGTCACAGACTCAACAATAAAGAGGCACAGCAACCTCAAATTCTAAACAATAATCGCTCTCACCCAGCCCCTACACAGACGACAACCACGAAATAAGCGCAACACGAGCGACATTAAGACATGATACACATAGGTTAGAAGGACTACCTTATAAAGCTGAAAATGTTATAAACGACAAAGATGACATTATTGCAACAATGTTTGATGTAAATGGTCTATGTGCTGCTGCGCCAGCACAACATTATGTTTATCCCTATGTTTATCACTATTATTACTGTTATCATTACTGTCTGTATCAACATCAGTATTATGATTATGTATCAGAACCGGAAAACTCGATAAAACCAATAAAAATTATATATGGAAAAAAAAAAAAGTGCTGACCTCTATAAGAATTATGAGATTTTGTGAGCATTGCACGTGTTCAGGGGCGGCAATGTCAGGCAGACGGGTTAGGGTGGGTTATTGAGCTGGAGGTGTGGAAATTGGCCCGAAGGTCAGCCACCAAAGCCATATAACCAGGTAGTAGTCCGCAGGGGTAGGCAACCTTCGGCACTCCACATGTTGTGGACTACATCTTCCATGATGCTTTGCCTGCTTTATAGATGTAAGAGCATTATGGGAGAAGTAGTCCACAGCATGTGGAGAGCCGAAGGTTGCCTACCCAGTAGTAGTGCATGACTGATTCCTACCTGCTGCTGTTAAAATCAACTCTGCAACTGATCTAATCTTCTTCACACTTTTAATGGAGTAACGAAGGGTGGACACTATGCTTTTTCTCCAGAACCTCGTGATAAGACCGCGTGCAGCATTGATAAAGTGAGGTAGCACTGTTTTCCTGTAACTGGTGCTCGGAGTGGGGAGTGTAGGAGTGTAGCAAGTTAACTGAGTGCAGTGAGAATCGCATGTATGTCCCTCCAAAATGGCTGGATGAGGGGGCACGACCACCATATAACAAATAAAGTGCCCAGCTCCTATGTACATTTCCAGCACTCTGGGTCACAATCCAAGGAAAAGCCAGCCAGTTTTTCCGGTATTTTATAGCACTGAGCGAGCATCTTATATCCAAATTCTTGGTGTTAATTGTGAATTTATGAGTGAGAAGAATGAATTCTCTCCATTGCTGTTTGGAGGAGGTGCGCCCCAGTACTCTTTTCTAGTATTTTGGCAAATGGGATAGCTGTGCGTTGTCAGGGGGAGAAATTATGGACTTGTACAGTTTTGAGAGAGCATGGGTTGGAAGAGTTTACTAAGCACACAAGTACTCGAAAGCAGTCATTTGGTAGTCTCGGGGGCTAGGACATGCGTGAGGAATTGTGTTCATTGTTGGTATCTGAATCTAGCCAGAAGTCCAGGAGGTTTCAGTATGCTAAGGTCTGTCAGTGTGGCTAGCCTAACGTTAATGTAGGCGTCTTTCACTCTGCAGGGATAGGTTAAGTGCAGTGAAGATATGAATCGCTCAGAACAGGCTGGGGATAAGTCAGGGTTTCCTGTCACAGGGGGGACACAAAGGGGGAGACAGGCCAATTGACCCTGAGATCAATCTCCAAATGGATAACGCAGGCATAGGCAATCTTCTGCACTCCAGATGTTTTGGATTACACCTCCCATAATGCTTTGCCAGCATTATGGGTGTTAGAGCATTATAGGGGATGTAGTCCACAACATCTGGAGTGCCGAAGGTTGTCTATCCCTGGGATAACGTATCGGATATGGCTGAGTGGTTACTTGTTTTTCTGACTTTTTTGTTTGGTGGGAGCCAGGGTATAGCACATAAAGGAGTATCAGAAAAGCTAGCTTCCCACTGGATCCTGAGTTAAATTACCCACTCTAGTATTCGTTGGAGGTGGACTGCTTTGTGGTATCTGGAGAGATCAGAGAGCCCTAGGCCTCCATGTTGTCTAGGGCTTGAAGTGGGAGTCTGAAATAATTACAGGAAGTGCGACAGCACATCCATTTTTAAAATGCTGATCTTACCAAACCATGTATTATGTGGGGACATCCAAGAACGCAGGTCTTACTTTACCTTTTCTGGTAGTGGCAGGACATTGAGTTTGCATGTGTATGTGAGGACGGCAGGGATCATGACAGAGATATGTGATTGCATCCCAGCCCCACTTTGATTTCTAAACATGTTTATTGTAGTTTGAAGATACAAAACTGTGAGTATTATTGCTGTGGAGCTCTGTTATACATTCAGACACATTACTGTGAGTAGTATTGCTGTGGAGCTCTGTTATACACTCAGACACATTACTGTGAGTATTATTGCTGTGGAGCTCTTTTATACACTCTGGCACAACTACAATATGGAGCTCCTAGAAAAGAGGGACAGAAGGATTTGAGACTATCCCTCCTAAATCAGGACACTTGAGAGGTATGAAATGGTATGTATCTAGGAACAAATGTTGGCTCTGGCTATTCTAGCTAGGGAGAGGAACATAGGTTGAAATCTGTCTTGGAGTAGTAGGTGTTACAGTTCACAGCATCTTAAAGGACCACTCTAGGCACCCAGACCACTTCAGCTTAATGAAGTGGTCTGGGTGCCAGGTCCAGCTAGGATTAACCCATTCTTTTATAAACATAGCAGTTTCAGAGAAACTGCTATGTTTATGAATTGGTTAAGCCTTCCCCCAAAGTCTCTAGCGGCTGTCTCATTGACAGCCGCTAGAGGCGCTTGCGTGCTTCTCACTGTGATTTTCAGTGAGAGCACGCCAGCGTCCATAAGAAAGCATTGTGAATGCTTTCCTATGCGACCGGCTGAATGCGCGCGGAGCTCTTGCCGCGCGTACGCATTCAGCCGACTGGGAGGAACGGAGGAGGATCGGAGGAGGAGAGCTCCCCGCCCGGCGCTGGAAAAAGGTAAGTTTTAACCCCTTTCCCCCTTCCAGAGCCAGGCGGGAGGGGGACCCTGAGGGTGGGGGCACCCTCAGGGCACTATAGTGCCAGGAAAACGAATATGTTTTCCTGGCACTATAGTGGTCCTTTAATGGCAGGTACCCATTATCCTAAGGCCCCCCCCCCCCATAATTCGAATGACCCCTAAAACTACTTGATAATATACCATGCTGTAATGATGCCTGTCATTATAAACTTACTGAATTGTGTTTTGTGTCCTAATGTGTTTTATACCCCACCTCCTATGGACTGTAAGCTTGTTTGAGCAGGGTCCTCTTCAACCCATCGTTCCTGTAAGTTTTCTTGTATTTGTCCTATTTATGGTTAAATCCTCCCTCTCATAATATTGTAAAGCGCTACGGAATCTGTTGGCGCTATATAAATGGCAATAATAATAATAATAATAATAATAATTGCTGTCGCAGTGTTTTTAATGTAGTACAACAAGCATCATCCTCATTACAGTGAAATTATTTAGACAACTTTTAATCGTCAATATTTTTAAAGTGAATCTTGAAAGCGCAAATGGTGCACTCACAAAATTATTTAAACATGACTGCCTCCAAACCAAGTTCATCACCAACATTTTAATTTCATTTTATTGGCTTATTGGTTAATTAAAGGGACACTTTAGGCACCCACACAACTAAAGCTTAATGAAGCAGTTTTGGTGGATAGATCATTCCCTGGGGTGTTACTGCTCAATTCTCTGCAATTTAAGAGTTCATTTTTATTTCTGTCCATGCAGCCCTATCCATACCTCCCTGACTGTGACTCACATGGAAACATAAATGGTTTAATCTTCAGGTGTTAACTTACTTTATACGTTTATATCTCCTGCTCTGTAAATTGAACTTTAATCACACACTGGCATCTCCAACAGGGTCTAGCAAGCTATTAACGGAGCAGAAGATAATGAATTCTAAATTAAACAGAATGTGCAATAAAGGAAGATTGAACATTAGATTTACAGTGTGCTTAGGAAGGCTGTGCAAGTCACATGCAGGAAGGTGTGATTAGGGATGTATAAAAAAAAGTGCTTTAACTCCAAAATCTCAGAGAATTGAGCAGCAAGACTGCAGAGGCATGGTCTCTATACCAAAACTCCTTCATTAAGCTAACACTGATTTGGTGCCTATAGTGTCCCTTTAACCACCAATTTATTTGTCTAAGCATCCATGTTCCTAAATATCGAGAATTAAACTTTATTTTCTCTTTTGACCAGATTAAATATGGCGTTGGGTGCTTCCTCCACCTTATTTGTAGACATCGGAAAGCTCTAGTCCAGACTTCCCCAAACTCCAGATGCTGCTGAACTACAACTCCCATGATTCTCAGCCTATCTATTTCATTCATAGAATCATGGGAGTTGTAGTTCAGCAACATCTGCAGGGCTGGAGTTTGGGGAAGCCTGCTCTAGTCCATGTAAGGTCGAAGGCCGTCGCTTCGAGTTGGAGGGGTCTGTAATGGCTCCCTCCCTCCTTCACTGGAGATTTGAAATGCCTAGATCCTCTCTTACATCTTCTAAGGTTTCTGGGATTGCAAGCTGCATTCTGTTCCCATAGAAGATGTGAAATAACGAGTGTAAGATTTCAAAGGGCTTGGTCCTGATCTTACATCAAAGGCCCAAGTGTAGTTCTAAATACATAGATCTAATAAACATCTCCACAACCATCTTAAACTCAGCCCACTAATATCTGTGAATACATGGGGAGTTTAGGGGGGTTCGATCCTGTCCTCTCTAGCTTCTAGTAATTAGGCTTCAATGGGTTTACATGAAATTTAGTTATTGAGAGGAGGTGACGGATTTCTGCGTGGGTCGATCAGCTTGGTTCA